ATTCTGTGTCTCCCTCTCTCTCTGCCCCTCCCCTCCTCACGCTCTGTCTCTTGCTGTCTCTCAAAAATAAATAAACTTAAAAAAAAAAAACCAAAACTGTTGATTTTTGTTCCTGCTGATTCTCTCTCATGGTGCTTTGAATCCTTACATATTTAAAATTCTTTTTGTGGGGTGCTTGGGTGGCTCAGTCAGTTGAGCTTGCAACTTCGACTTTGGCTCAGGGCATGATCTTGAGGTCTGTGAGTTTGGCCCGGGTCCCACTCTGTATTGACAGCTCAGAGCCTGGAACCTGCTTCAGATTCTGCATCTCCCTCTCCTGCTTGCACTCTGTCTCTCTCTCTCAAAAAGAAATAAACATTAAAAAATAAACTAGGGGCACCTGGGTGGCTTAGTAGGTTAAATGTACGTCTTTGGCTCAGGTCATGATCTCATGGTATGTGGGTTTGAGCCCCTCATCGGGCTCTAAGCTGAAAGCTCAGAGCCTGAAGCCTGCTTCAGATTCTGTGTCTCCCTCTCTCTCTGCCCTGCTTCACTCACAGTCAGTCTCTCTCTCAAACATTAATACAAAAATTTTTTTAAATTAAATAAATAAAAAATAAAATAAAATTCTTTTTGTGTAAGTCTATATTTGGCAGAATTTAATATAGAAGCTTGGGCTGATGATATTTTCCTCTAAGGAGGATTCAGTTTGCTTCTGCTGGATTCCAGAGGGCATTAATAATTTGGGGCCACTTAAAATTTTCAGCTTATGATTTATAGATCAAAGGGAAAGTAAAAATTCCAACCACAGATCCTTGTTAGAGCAGATCTCCCCTGGAAACTAACATTTTTATTAATTTTAACATCTGCAGCCTAGAAAGGTTTCCCTGTAAGATCCCTCTATAAACAGATGTACATTTGTTTTCCTTTCCCCTGACAATGTAGCCTAGTTGAGGGTCCCAGCTTTGTGGGGAATAAGGGTGTCTCACATTTAGCTCTTTTATCTTCCTAGGCCTTAGGGCTCACTCGGTCGCTTCTCCCCCAACCTTTCATACCCCCTTCCCAGTCCCCAAGACTCTAGGCTTCTAGTTAGTTGACTCCCTGTTTACTTACTGTTTACTTTTTGATTTGTATTGTTTTATTTTATTAGTCACAGGGGGATACCATTGGGAGGTGATCTTTCTTTTCTTGGGAGTTCACTAAGGAATTTTTTAAATGTGATTGTTATGCTTTACATCGCATTTAGGTATCCTGTTATGGGAACTCTGTCATACTACTGGACTAGAACTTCTGAAATAATCAAACAAAAATGTGATTATATGGTATATATTGCTTTATAACATGCTTTTGTCCCCACTTGATATATGATAAACACCTGTCATGATAATAAATATAGGTCTAGAGCATCATTTTAATGGCTACATAGGCATCCACTGCATAATTTATTCATAATCTTTGTAATATATATTTACTTGTGTATAACCTTTTTCCTGTTATGGGATATTTAGGGTTCTATTTTTGTCACTATGTCAAACAGCACTTCGGTGAATACCCTTACAGTTGAATTATTGCATACATATGATCTTCTTCCTTCTTTAACTGTTTATAAAAGTAATATATGCTGAGAAAAAGAAAAAAGAGAAAAAGAAGAAAAAAAAGTAATATATGCTAACGTAAACCGTTCAAACACTAAGGAAAATGAAAATTCTCCATAAACCTTTTTACCATCCCCTCAATACCATTTGATCTGTAATTGGAATCTCTATTTTTTTAAATTTTTCCAATGTTTGCTTTTGAGAGAGAGACAGACAGACAGACAGAGTGTGAGAGGGGGAGGGCAGAGAGAGAGGGAGACACAGAATCCAAAGCAGACTCCAGGCTCTAAGCTGTCAGCACAGAGCCCAACGCAGGGCTCAAACTCATGGACCACGAGACCATGACCTGAGCTGAAGTCGGATGCCCAACTGACTGAGCCACTCAGGCGCCCCTATAATTGGAATCTCTTAATCAAACAACAGATAAGAATTAGTTAGGGCTAGGGGCGCCTGGGTGGCTTAGTAGGTTGAGCGTTCGACTTTCGCTTAGGTCATGATCTCGCGGTTCGTGGGTTCGAGCCCCGCGTCGGGCTCTGTGCTGACTGCCAGCTCAGAGCCTGGAGCCTGTTTCAGTCTGTGACTCCCTCTCTCTCTCTGACCCTCCCCTGCTCACGCTGTCTCTCTCTTTCTCTCTCCTAGAAATAAATAAAAAACATTTTAAAAAAAAAAAAAAAAAAAAAAAAGAATTAGTTAGGGCTAGAATATGTAAGAAGAGAAACCACACTCTCTGCCCTCCCACCCCCACAACTAAGGAGGGAGAACCAGAGCCATAGGAGAAATGGGCTGAAGGTAATGAAAGACAATCAGGAGCAAAACACCAAAAGAATTAGAGACACCCAAATAAACTCCAAAAGCCTGGGACCAGGTCAGAGGCTCTGCTCCGGGTCAGCAGCACTAGGCCTCAGGAAAGGCCACAGTTCCAAATCCAGGGATCAGCTCTGTTTTGCCAGGTCCCCCCACCTAGAAACAGAAGGTCTTCTCAGGCACTCACTCCAGGCTCCTCTCCCTGCTCCTCCTTCTTTTATTTATTTATTTATTTATTTATTTTTTAATGTTTTATTTATTTCTAGGAGAGAGAGAGAGAGAGAGACAGCATGAGCAGGGGAGGGTTAGAGAGAGAGGGAGTGACAGACTCTGAAACAGGCTCCAGGCTCTGGGCTGGCAATCAGCACAGAGCCCGATGCGGGGCTCGAACCCACGAACTGCGAGATCATGACCTAAGCGAAAGTCGGACGCTTAACCGACTAAGCCACCCAGGCACCCCTGCTCCTCCTTCTTTTAAAGGGGTTTGAGTTGTTTTGAGTCAAAAAGTAGTACAAGCTCTGACACTATCCCCAAATCCACACTTTATAGTGGCTTACCCCTGACTCTCAGGGCCTGATCCCAATCTAAAGATATTCAGCACCCAAGTGGAGCCCAGGTCTTCTCTCAAAAGAGAATCATGAAAGGGATGGCTGCCCTCTCTAATGGCTCTCGGCTCCTGACTAGACTTTTCGGAGAACCTGTTGCACTTACCTTTATGTTCTGTGAAATGTCATCCTGTCTCAAGAATAAAGTTGACTTCAGGTGGGTTCTGTCAACCATGAAGGCACAGGCGAGAGCCCCCAAACTTTAACAAAGAGCAAACTCCTTTTTTCCTCCCAGTGAGTATGGAGCTCCAGCTGGAGTGATCAAAGTCATAAAGAAGCCCCCAAAGTCTTGGTTGTTCTTTTAATGCAATTCAACAAATATTTATTGGATACCTACCATGTACTGCCTTTTAAAGAGACTACAGGGGTGCCTGGGTGGCTCAGTCTTTTAAGCATCTATCTGACACTTCATTTCAGCTCAAGTCATGATCTCATGGTTCATGAGTTCAAGCCTCTCATTGGGCTCTGCGCTGACAGCATGGAGCCTGTTTGGGATTCTCTCTCTCCCCCTCCCCCTGCTCCTTCCCCACTTGCATATGTGTACCATATCAGAGAACACACACTCTTCTCTCTCTCTCAAAATAAACATTTTTTAAATTAAAAAAAATTTTTTTTAAATTTATTTCTGAGAGAGACAGTGTGAGCAGGGGAGGGGCAGAGAGAGAGGGAGACACAGAATCCAAAGCAGGCTCCAGGCTCTGAGCTAGCTGTCAGCACAGGGCCTGATGGGGGGCTCACACTCAAGAACCGTGAGATCATGACCTGAGCTGAACTGGGAGGCTTAACCGACTGAGCCACCCAGGTGCCCCTCAAAATAAACTTTAAAAAAGAGAGAGAGAGACTACAGTCTTAGAATTCCCTGAATAGCTCAAAAAAAGCACAAACTGACTCTAACAGAATACATGGTATGGATCTAGAAACCACAGTTAACTGCTGGCCACTTTTGCTCCAACCAGCAGAGTGCATGGACAGAATAGAAAGTGCATACCAAGGTAAGCACCTTTCAGTGAAGGTTGGGTCTCCCCATGAAGGACTGAGTGCCCAGGACTGGCCACATACAGTGTCCACAACCTCCAGCCACGGTGAGGCCTTCGGGATCCAGCTGAAGAGTGGAGAGTAAGGAGTCGGTATGTTTTCATAGACACCTTTTGTTGACCCTAAATCCTTAAGGCTCCCCAGGCTCCTGCGTTCCCAGATGCCCTTGTGCAGAGTATATGCTTGCTGGGCACATGTGTTAACCAGGGAATTTGTGTGGAGGTATCGGTGTGGAGGGAGAGGGCAGGGATGTGTTTTCCCCTCCAATGTCCACCTCAATGTCAGACACCCTTTGCTGGGCCAGTTCATCTAGTGGACTACCATGCCCTGAAAGCAAAGTCACTACCAATGCCAAAGTCTTGCTTCAGCAAGAGCAGCTGTCAGGGACTGGGCAGAAATACAGACAGGGACCGTTCACTACGCAATTAGATGCTTCACACTTTCTTTAGCCACATGCACGACCAATTGAGAGGTATAGCCTAATGGTTCCATCAGGAAAACCTGATGGTTCTGAGCTAGGCTTGAAGTCAGCTCCATACTGGCTTGGGCAAGCAATTTAAGCTACCTGTGTCTCTCTGTTTCCTCATCCACAAAGACGTAATAAAAAACAGAACCAATTCCCCTAGGGTTGCTGTGAGAATTAAATAAGCTAATGGTGGGGCATTTGGGGGAGAGCCCAATGCTAGGACCATAAAATCCTCCTTAGCACCATCCCCTTCCCACAGCAGGCCTGGTAGGTGGTGGAGACTGAAATCCTGTGGGAGAAGGGAAAGACAGCAGCGGCAGGAGTAGATTGCAGGTTTCTGAAAATGAGGATTCTTTGTGTGGCACCCTAAGGACTCAGTGACAGCTAACCTGGCTGACATGCAGCAGGTGCTCAGGAAATACGAGTCAGGAAGGAAAAAGACTAACTTTCTTTCTGCCTCCCTGCCCCCCTGGGCACCAGCAGAAGAAGGAAGTGGTTTAGTCACTCTGTGTACGAGGAGCAAACCCGGAAGCGAAATCCGTGCAGCGACCCCCTGGCGACTCTCTGCTACAAACTCCCGTTCCCAGAAGTCACTCCATCGTGCGGACTCATCAGACTTCCAGCCTGATGTCTGACGGCAAGTTATGGTCAGTGGAGAGCGGGATAGGGATAAGCAGCCTCCCACAGACGCAGGGTGCCCCCGCAGACTCATTGAGCCCCTTGCTGAGGCCAGAGCACAATGGGGGCCTCTAGGGGACGGGGGAGTGGGGGAGCTGGGATTTGAAGTGACCATACAGAGTCACCCGAGTCACGGGCGGGGGGAGGAGGGGCGCAGTCTGGAAGACCAGGCACCCTCTTCCAGGCCCAGCAGTACCCCAGCCTCCCTGGTTCCCCTCGAGGAATTGGAGAACCCGAAGTTCATCGGTGCAGGCAGCTTCGGGGCGGTGTTCTGGGCAAGACACAGGACGTGGGATTTAGATGTGGCAGTCAAGATCATGAACAGGTAAGTGACCTGAGGAGCAGAGCTTCCTGGGGTCTGACCGAGAAGGGGGTACCCACTGTGCTGTGGGCCTGACTGGGGAAAAGAGGGATCTTCTAAGAGCAGAGCCTGACTCCAACTCTTTCCTCTTTCCTGGAGTGTAGGGAGACAATATCCAGGGAGGTGAAGGCCATGGCAAGTCTGCGTGGCCAGCATGTACTGCACCTGCTGGGGGTCACCGAGCAGCTAGAGTGGGAGTACATGCGCGGGCCGGCCCTGGTGACTCAATTCATGGAAAACGGTTCCCTGGTGAGGCTGCTGCAGCCCCGCTGTCCTCGGCCCTGGCCGTTCCTCTGTCGCGTGCTGCAGGAGTTGGTGCTGGGGATGTGTTATCTGCATAGCCAGAATCCCGTGCTTCTGCACCGGGACCTCAAGCCCTCCAACGTCCTGCTGGACTCAGACCTGCATGCCAAGGTCAGCCCATCCGTATCCCAGCCCAGCCTCTGGACACGGTCCTGTCTCAGAACTCTTCAAGCCCCACCCACTAGACACAGAGCCCGCTGCAGCTCTGTCTGCTGCATATTCTCAGCATATCCCCCTGGACACAGGGCTGCGCAAGTGTCAAAACCCACCCAGGAGTTTTAGCCCCTACCATACTGGTGTTTGAGACCCTGACCAACACGATCAGTTCCGCAGGCCCACCCACCAGTCCATCCAAAGACTCATGACTGACCTAGCTGAGGAGACTCAAACCTTGACCCAGCCCCATGAAGAGGGTACCCAGACCTCCAACCCAAGGGCCCTATTCCCCTAACCCTCAAATCCCCCTTTACAAGGCTGCACCTGCACCTTTTGGTGGGAGAGGAAATTCTGGAAGCTGCCGGACTCTGTCCATCCCCCTACCTTCTTCCTCTTCCCTCCCTTTCCAGCTGGCAGATTTTGGCCTATCAACATTTCAAGGAGGCTCAAGGTCTGAGGAGTTAGCCCTCGCCTACTTGGCCCCAGAGCTGTTGGCTGATGTAAACCAGAAAGCCTCCATGGCTAGTGATGTCTACAGGTAAGGTACCCACTCTAAACACACATTCCAAATTTCTCTACCTCTCTGGGTCCTTCTAGGGGACGGTATATGGGAAAGTAGCCTTGCCAGCAGTTTGCCCAAGCCTCAGCTTTGTGTTTCCTGCAGCTTCGGGATCCTAATGTGGGCAGTGCTAGCTGGACGAGAAGCTGAGAGTAAGACTCTAGGCGGACACGGGGATCCTTAACTCCAGGTGCCCTCCTCCTGCAAGCCTCCAAACCGTCTTCTTCCAGCTTACCTGCTCAGACTGCCCAACTTTCTCCCCACCTTGCCTTGGACTCCACTCCTTTCCCCTTTCCATGATGGAGCAAGTGGCCCCTCATACCCTGAATGTCTTCTCTTCACATCCTCCACCCCCACCCCAGTAGTGAGCCAGAAATCAGTGGTGCAGGAAGCAGTGTGTGAGAGGCAGATCCGCCCCCCCTTGACCAAGCTGCCCCAGCCGGGTCCCGAGACTCCTGGCTTGGAAGGACTGAAGGAGTTAATGCAGCACTGCTGGAGCCATGAGCCCAAGAACAGGCCCTCCTTCAAAGGTGAACTGGGAGCCAGGGTAGGCCTGGATCTGTCAGCAGGGGGCTTCTCCCTGGGAAATTCTGGTTCATCTGCTGCCCCACTCTGCCTTGTTTCTAGAATGCCGATCAAATACCGAGGAAGCCCTCAATCTGGTAAACAAGGAGATGGATGCCGCAGTCTCCACGGTGAGTGTCCAATGCCACCCCCAACCCCAGAGCGGAGCAAGGGTGGCACAACATGGCTCCCTTGGCCACCCAGTGTCTCCCCACTGACCACTGTTCTTTATGTATGCCTTAATCTTTGTCCCAACTCTCCCCACCTCACCGCTACATTCCCAGGTAATAGATTATGGACCAAGAGATTCTTCCCTTGGGTTTACACTGGCTTTCCCACCCCCATGCCCAGAAAGCTCCTCTTATCCTTGCAGGTGAAGAAGTTCCTGTCTGAGCACAGGGGCATCAACAGGATGTTGTCTGCCCCCAAGCCAGGCCCAGGAGGGACAGAAACGGATGAGCCTAGGGGAACCACAGGAAGCCTTGATTTCGTAGCCTCTGAAATGCTGAACAAACTAAATCTGAAGGAGTCCCCCAGCTGTGTTCCTAAGAAATGTACAAACCTTCCTGAGAGGATCAGGACACAGGGAGACAAGGTTCACCCTGCCCAGATAACAGGGATACCTTCAGATGCAACAGCCCCATCTCCCCAAACTCCAGAGACCTCACCTTTCAGAAATCATACCCCCAGCTCCAACTTGGCTCAGACCCCAGGTCCTGGACCCATAGGGAATCAGGTGAGACCCTGGCAGAACTAGAGGATGCACTAGGAATCCTCTGATCCCTGCCCCCCTTGCCAGGGAAAACTTGGGGCTCAGGGGAATACAGCAGGGGAACAGGGCCCATGACAGGGAACCTAAGAGAGCTGTGTTGTTCACAGGGGGCTACGAGACACAGCACCAACTGGCCAACCAGGGCACCAGGGCTAAATCCAATACCAGGTACCCACTCCACACTCCTTCCTTTCCCCTGCTTAATTCTTCCACCGGCTTCTTCCTCAAGATCGTATATAGAACCAGGGTACCTTGGGTAGCAGAGGAGAGAAAGAGCTAGTGGCCAACTACCCCAAACTTTTCATTTCATAAAATGAAGAAACTGACACCCACTGGGACTGGATCCCACTGAGGTCACACAGCAAAGCCTGGATTTGCCCTGGGCCTTCTGACTTTCCCCAGTACCAGCTCTGTGAACCCCTAACTTCCATCACTGCTATATTGGTCCGGAGGGCTCCGAGAAGAAAAGACCCAAATATCAGGGTCTCAGACATTAGTTGCCACTCTTGAGCTTCTGAAAATTCGGTTCTGAAGGGGGGGACAGGAAGGGGCAGGCCCAAGGCACACCTTCACACAGTCACAGGCGGGCCTACGGACCCCATACTTGCGTTTCCCCAGGATGGACACAAGGTGCCGCTGCCCCTCCACCCTGCTGCTCCTTATTTTGAGTTCCTCACTACTTAACCCTCCCACTAACACTCCAAATTTCTCTTAAAGGGCGGCCATCTGTTCTCATAAGTGACAGCCATGGGGTGCAGGTCGGAGACAACAACTACTTGGTTATACAAGGAGGAACTGCCTTGTCCACACCGAGCCTGCCACCTTGGGCCATGGGTAGAGGCTGGCAGCATGCCCCCCAGAAGTAGGTTGGAAAGAAGGGCCACAAGAACCCAGAAGCCTGGAGTGGGCTGCAGGGCCAGTACAAAGGAGGTTCTGAGCTACCCATTGAATTGAGGCAATCAACTGAGACTTTCTTTGAGGGCCATCTGGCCTGCAGCCAAACTGACTTTGTGTTATGCACAGAGGACTCAATAAACGTGGTGGATATTTTTAAGTTTATTTATTTTAAGAGAGAGAGAGATCATGAACAGGGGAGGGGCAGAGACAGAGGGAGAGAGAGAATCCCAAGCAGGCTCTGTACTGTCCGCACGCTCAGTGAGGGCTCTGTCCCACAAGATTATGACCTGAGCCACTATCAAAAGCCAGAAGCTTAACCAACTGAGCCACCCAGGCACCCCCACACATGGTAGATTTTTAACCAAAGCGGCCACACTTGGGAGGCTAATGCTTAGGCCAGGATCGGGCGGCTGAAGCACGGCAGGGAGGTGACACGAGGGAACCTGAGGCACTGCTGTCTAGCAGAGGCCGGAAGCGGGATGCTCAGGGCTGGGGGTGGGCAGTGTTGTGGCACACAAGGTCAGGGCCCAGCTGGCGGCAGGAAGGAATCCTGGAGGCCTGGCTCCTGGGGCTGCTCTAATCTCTGGGTGGAGCACTTCCTCTAGATCAGGGAGACCCCACCCTAAACCAAATTTCGGAGATAATCTCACTGTCCACTTTTCTTCTGGGCTCTGGAGACATCGCAGTGGGGTGTTGGGGAGAGGACTCTCCATAGGCATCCGCAGACCCCCAGTCTCTTGGAGGTCAGCCCGGGTACTTATTTCCCCTCCCTCCACGCAATTACTCATCACCTAAACTCACCTGCTCCTTGCTTCGGAGCCCTTTGACTCCCAGCTCCCTTTGACTCGGAGCTGGACCCCATGGGATCGTGGACAGTTCAGACTCGGCCACAGCCGCTTGTCCAGGCAGGAGTAGAGGAGAAGGCGCACCCTTTAATCCTGACTTAAATCCTAGCCCCCAGTCGCCCCCACATTCTTCCGTACATTCTCGCCAGCCTTCACTTCACTCCAACTGTCCTGGATTTTCCCCACGTCGAACGGTTCCACTCCGATTTCGATACTCGCTCTTCAGCCTGGCCTACCCCACCCCCTCGCATCTCCCACGGTCTGCATTCCCTTCTTGAGGCGGCTGAAGAGGGAAGGTGCCGGTGTTAGGGGAGACAATGAGGGAGGGAGGAGGCCTGGGGAGTCCGCCTCGGCACGGGAAGGGGCCGGGCAGTCCCATCGGGGGAAGTGGGAGGGGGGGCCCCCGGCGCTGGGAGGGAAGCGCCTGCCGCCTGGGGCTTGGAGCCACTAGCTTCTGGGGATCGGGACTCCGCGACCAGCTGTCCCGGGCTCCCTCCTCGGTCGTAACCCATCAGCTGTGGCAGGATCGCGGGCAGTGAGTTTTGGGGAAAGGGGGAACCCGAGGTCCTTTGCTTCAACCCCAAATCCCGTCCCACCCGGCGATGAGGCTCCTGCTAGGGCACCCCCGGCAGTCAGGGGTCGAGGGAGGAGGAGCGAGGGATAGGGCAGTCCCCTCACCGCCAACTGGGAAGAGGCTGAGAGGCCACAGGGAGTGCCTGGAAGATGGGAGCGCCGCGAGGTTGGGGAAACGGGATGCAAGTGGCTTGGACCCAGTGAGAGGGGCGCAGCTGGGGCCGGCTGGGGCCACGGGAGGTAACGCGGCCCCTGGCCCTCCGCAGCCCCAGGGTCCGCCCCCCGCCCGGGCGAAGCGGCGCGGGGCAGGGAAGACCATGGCCCGCCTCTTCAGTCCCCGGCCACCTCCCAGCGAAGACCTCTTCTACGAAACCTACTACAGCCTGAGCCAGCAGTACCCGCTGCTGCTGCTGCTGCTGGTGATCGTGCTCTGCGCGCTCCTGGCGCTGCTGGCTGTCGCCTCCGCCAGCGGCCGGGTGAGCGGGGAGGGGGGCGGCTCTGGTGCCGGGCGCCTTCTGGAGGGTCGTGGGAGGGTCGCTGCCTAGGGGGCGTTTTCGGAGTTAGGGCTCGGGAGGGGTCTTCTTTTCGACGTGCCTTCTTTGCTGGAACCCAGGGAAGTCTTACTAGGAAATGTAGTGACCCTGGACAAGTCACTCCACCTCTGAGGCCTCGTTTGCTGGGCTGCTGGGAGAAAGCTGAGCCCTGGGGGTGCTTCTAATTTCTCTCAGGGTACTGACCGGCCTTCCTAGCTTCTGTCATCTACTGGTTCTAGAGTAAATTCAACACCGGATTTTCCAATTTTCCAGAGGGGAAATTACTCTTGGCCTCGTGGGAATCCGTTGTTTCCTGGTTTTCTTTCTTTCACAGGGGTTGTGGGACAGTTGTACCCACAGTCTCCCAGAAGACACCCTCCCTCCCACTCACATTTAGTCCCAAAATAACCCCATTTCCAGTCCCTCTTTCTTTCTTTCTCTTTCTTTCTTTCTTTCTTTCTTTCTTTCTTTCTTTCTTTCTTTCTTTCTCTCTCTCTCTCTCTCTCTCTCTCTCTCTCTTTCTTTCTTTCTTCCGAAAGGGGGTCTTCAATTCCATTTCTGGAAATATTCTGCTCCAAGCTTTCTTTCCTCTTTTTGGAGGCAAGTTGGGAAAGCCACTAAACAGACCAATTCTTGCTGGTCTCGAAGTCCAGCAAGAGATGGGGACACGGGGCAGGGACAGTGGCTGGAGGCCTACACCCAGAGGTGGGTGGCAAAAGTGTAGTGCTGCCCCCTAGCCTAACAGGAGGGAGGTTCCAGGTGAGCTTTGCTGCTGGAGGGCTTCTGGGGGGGGGGGGGGGGTGGGGGTCTACTCCCAGACTTGTGCCCAGGGCAGGGAATCTCATGAGCAAATTGGCTCTTTGCTGAGTGCCTTCTGTAAGTAGGATTCTTTGCTTGCTTCAGGACCCCTGGCTGGTGCTCTAATTCCTATCTGACAGATGAGAAAGCTGAAGCTCAGAAAGGTCATAGATTCACAAATGGGCAGTAAAGGGTTCTGAGCCAGGGACTCTGGATAGAGGCCTAAAGCTCATACACCCCTGCAGCATGCAACCAAGATATTAGGTTGAACCGCATGTGACAGCAGACTCTATAGATTAAAAACAGATTATTGGCAACTTCCTATGGTTCACCCTACTATGAATGGCAAGCCTGTCTGTCTCCTTTTACTACTTGAGTTTGAGACACTTCTCAGAAGTGGCCTGGGGGACTGCCTGTTCTTCTTCAGTTTGGAGGAGCCCCCCATACTCTGCACTCCAGTCTTGCTGCAAGCACCCTCTCTTCACAGGAGCTAGCTTCAGACCCGGGCTTCCTGACCACTGTGCTGTGCGCGCTGGGCGGCTTCTCGCTGCTCCTGGGCCTGGCCTCCCGTGAGCAACGACTGCAGCGCTGGACACGTCCCCTATCGGGCCTCGTATGGGCAGCGCTTCTCGGGCTAGGCCATGGCTTCCTGTTCACTGGGGGCCTGGTGAGCGCCTGGGACCAGGTGAGAGGCATGGCCAGTGGAGTAAGGGGCAGAGGACACCCAGACCAAGAGCAGGGAGCAGCCCATCGTCAGGGCTGGCATAAGCCAGCAGCTTCCGGTGCCTTCCCGCCCCCAGGTGTCCTTTTTCCTCTTCATCATCTTCACCGTGTATGCCATGTTGCCCTTGGGCATGCGGGATGCCGCCGCTGCGGGCCTTGCCTCGTCGCTCTCCCACCTGCTGGTCCTTGGGCTATACCTCGGGCCTCAGCCAGACTCGCGGCCGGCCCTGCTACCGCAGGTGAGCACACGCATAGCATGGGTTGTGCCCAGGGCTGGCACACTGCCCGCCTTTGGTTCCTCTGAGCATCCACCAACCGCTAACCCAGCTGTGACTCCAGGGCGGGGCACCACACTAAGCACAGAGTACAAACACAGACACACCCAGATGGTGTGCTTATGGAGCGGGTACACCAGTGCAGCACGATGCCTGCGGACAGCAGAAGAGGCCTCTGGGTCCGGGAGCAAGGGAGCTCACCAGAGGACCATAGTAGTGGGGACAGATGTGAATAATGGAACCTTCACAGAGAATGTGAAAATTGTAACTTGAGTAGTTTTGTGCTGCAGGGGTGAGGGTGGGGGTAGATAGTGGAGTAGTATTCCAGGCAGAGGAAACATGAGCAAGGGTTTCTAGACCTAAGAGGCCATGTTGGCGCACAGCCAAGTCTAGAGCAAGAGTACTGGGGGGAGGAGAAGCGCCCCCTACAGACACCACAGTGTAGCGCCAATTGCCTGGAAATTCTTGGGCCTCTGTGGAGTCCTCCTCAACCCTCTTGGAGACCAACTCCAGCTACACACTAAACTACTCCCACCGCCACCCGTGGCCAGCATCCTCTGAGGTTGACCTTCACCCACAGCTGGCAGCAAACGCGGTGTTGTTCCTGTGCGGAAACGTGGCAGGGGCGTACCACAAGGCGCTGATGGAGCGCGCGCTGCGCGCCACCTTCCGCGAAGCACTTCGTTCGCTGCACTCACGTCGGCGGCTGGACACCGAGAAGAAACACCAGGTTCGCTGGGCCTGGGAGGCTGGGAGAGACTGAGGTGTGGAAAGGAGTTGTTTATATCATTCAACTGGGCCCCGTTGCAAGTCGAATGGTTTTGGACAGGTCGCTTACCCTTCTCTTTCCTCCTTGGTAAAATGTGGCTATCGCCCGTGTTGATAAGTTGTGTTAAGTCTCAGACAAACTGAAGCTTGTGAAAGCACTTTTATGATACTAAACAAAGAACTCTAATTCTGGCATTGGTGCTGGGAGTTCAGTCCCTAAAGATGATTAGTGCAGGATGGGGTGCTGGGGCCCAGTTCTATGTGATGGGAAGGATCTTGGGGGAGTATTTTGGGGTACACCTAGTGGGACTGGGGAAGTGCTGGGTTCCTAGGTCGTTGGGAGTCTGGGACTCCTGGCTTTAGGTTGCAAGAGGGTTGGTGTTCATGGTGACCTCCTCCAGGAACACCTTCTCTTGTCCATCCTTCCTGCCTACTTGGCCCGGGAGATGAAGGCAGAGATCATGGCACGGCTGCAGGCTGGACAGGGGTCACGGCCAGAGAGCACCAACAACTTCCACAGCCTCTATGTCAAGAGGCACCAGGGAGTCAGGTATGAGAAAGGATGGCTGCAGGGAAGGGGGGGCCATGGGCTGAGATCTGGGCCCCACTGACACAGTCTGCCCTGGCCAGTGTGCTGTATGCTGACATCGTGGGCTT